GAGGCCTGTTTTATTATGAATGCGCGCGCTTTATTTGACGACTTGTGGACTGTTCAACTGCAACACCTGCTGACTGCAATGATAGAGCTTGGAATAGCCAGGACAATTTTTAATATAACTCCGACTGGATTCGTCTGAAAGAATAAAGTCATATACACCTAGGATGCTTCAAGGGTAAGTAAAACACAGTCTAATTTTCATTTCTGGGTGAACTAACTCTTTAACCAACCTCCAAATGAACTGCGCTGGGAGGCAGGGTTATGCAGGCAGAGCACTGCGGTTAGAGGCAGGGGATTGGCTAGTGAGAGGAGACTCATGCCAGGCTATTGGCTGAAAAACACACACAAGGTGCACAGTGAATTACTGGCGGAGGAGAAGCGTCGGCGGGGGGCGTGGTCACAGAAAGCATGGCTGCTGCGCCTCTGGGTGGATTCGGCCTTGGGTGGAGGTGAAGAATAGAAGGATGAAAGAGGAAAAAGAGGAGATACAGGTTCTGACCCCGAGAAGGAGGAAGAGGCATGAGAGGCTAGGAATAAAAAAAAAAAATCGAAAGTAATAACAATGTGATATAAAAAAACAAAAAAAAAACAAAAGATAAATCTTGGGGAAACACAGAATATTGAGAAAAATAATCAATGCCAGTGAATACATAATGAAAAAGAGATAATAATTAAGGCTGTCATAGGGAATTACAAAGTAAATAAAAATACATTGTAATACATTGATAGCCATAGAAATAAAGTAAAAAGTCAAAAAAATAAAATAAAAAAATAACCAGAACTGAACAGCTGGAACAGAAAGATAAGGTTGTAAAGAAAATGGGAAAACTGCTGAATCACAGAGGCAAGATGACATGTTTACTGTCTGCATACACAGCACAGCACAGAAACCCTCCACCATCACTGCTGTGCAAACACAGCAAATCAACACCTGCACTCATCTCAGCCCTCTTTATCTAATTACTCTATTCGCTGCACATGATACTGGGAAAATTCATGTAAATTTATCTGTAACTGAAATGAGACAAAGCAGTTTTTCATTCAAGGCCCATTGTTCTTTTAGGAATTAAAGGGGTTAAACCACTATTTTTTCTTACGTTGAGGAATAATAGCATCCAGTCTAGTTCCTTCTAAATCACCTTACCATGACTTGGCAGTTGCTTAACACTAAATAGTGTTTTGACGTCAGAAACCCAAGCTTTTGCAGCTTAGTTTTAACTAATGTTCTTTTTGGACTGCAAAAGAAGAGCTCTAAAGTATAAAGTATGTATTCATAGAACTTAAAAAAAAGACAAATTTCATGATATGACCCTTCTACAAGAATTACAACATTAGAAATGCAAAAAATAAAAGTATATAACAAAGAGCATTAACCAACCCATCATCTTATTTCATTCACTCGAAATCAAATCTGTGCGTTTGAGAGAGAAAGAGAGAGATACATATTTAGGAAATACAGATAAAATGACAGCAAAGCTGATGGATCCGTTGTCACTGTGATGCAAACTCACCAAAAAGGGTAGGGCAAAAAAGCTGTTACCACCATAATTATACAGATATAGATATGTGGAGATTAATTTGTGTGTGTGTGTGTGTGTGTGTGCGCGCTCACCTGTCTCTGGATCACTGAAGTCCGGTAGTGTCATGGCGTTCAGCTGGCGACGGTCAGCAACAGCTCTGTCTAACAGACTGCTCCCCCTCCCAGAATCACTACACGCACACAGAGAGAAGACAAGAAGCAAGAGGCAATTAAGACGTTAAAATTAGAGAACGAGTAAAGCACTCAGACAGGCGACGTGATACTTGCACATCAATACACACAGAATGATGAAACCTTCAGAAATTTCACTCAGCATCTCATGGCACACTGCTATTGCACACATAACCACAATGTTTCTGCAACACTATTCATCTGAAAAGGAGTATAGAAATAACTGCAAGTATGCAAGAGAGAAATTTAGAAGAAAATTTGAGGAGACTTGGTGCCCAGATGCTAGGGTGTTACAGGGGGTTGTCAGGACATCGCTAGGTGGTTGCTTGCATGTTGTGAATGGCTGCTAGAGTTGCTTATTGGTCCAAATCAAAAGAGCCCAAACTCAAGTCTCGATGATATGATTCATAGATATGCCTTGGGTTTAAGTAATGTAAGTATAATGAAATTTCACCCATTTTATTGTTAACCAGGTTATCATAAATCATGAATCTGATCGCTTAAAAAATAAAAAAAAACTCTACGGAGACCGAAAAGTTGACATTTGTTTGTTTGTTGCCATACCAGCTTCTGTGGCTATTTTCATGGCGAGAAAATTTAGGACTAAATTATAACAGATTTTTTGAATTTATTTTCGCTAAAAACTCTAAAACTGTATTTGGCTTAACTCAAATAATCTTAATAATCTCTTCAAAAGAGTTGAAAATCTGACGTAGAGGGGGACCAAAGTTGCTTTAATACAAGTCAGTTCACTCAGTGGCCACCTTGGAAACAACTGGAATTCTGTTCATTCCAGATAAGCCGATAATTATTTTCATGTTATTGCTGAGAACCGATAAATGGCTATACTATTTTGTCCAAATAAATAAAAAAATTAAATCGAATATTTTAAATGCTACAAGTGAATTGAGGCATCACATTTTTTTTTTTTTAAATGTACATTTGCAATTTAACAAGATTCAAAGAAGACGAAAAAAAATAAACAGAACAAAGAACAGAAAAAGTTATAGTACGGGTTACAGAAATTATTTGTGTTTTTACAGATTAACTTCAGGGTTAGATGATAGCAAAGGTAATCTAAATGAAAGAATATGAAAAAGGATGCACAATTAAATATCTAATACTGATAAAAATAAAACCCAAATATCCTCTGATAATGAATATGGTACTAATACATTGTGCATCCCTAATACCTTCTATGTAGGAATACCGTTTTTATCCATTTCAGTGTGAAAAGACTGACATTTTTCCTAAAGTGCAAGGGTAAACTTACGTTCCAACAACATTTTAAATGAAATAAGAATCAGTTCAAATCATACAAAAAAGGCTGATGCAATGACATTTTGGAGTAAACTAAAAGCTGAACTGAAACATACTGAGCATTAAGGTGTGCCACATTTACTGCTGTTCAGCAAATTTCTGAGAAATCCAGTCATTTCAAAAGAAATCCTCACAAAAGTTTTCTCAAATCAGATTTTGCAACGGTTCAATGCAAATACACCGTGTTGGCCAACAGAAGGCTGCTTAGTTTGAAAGTGACCTCTGTGTGAGCTGTGCTTTATATATGGTTACATTACTGACAAAAGACTGAAAGAAATTTCTCTTACGTGACTGCATGATTTTTTTCACATTCATATTTCTGATGTGGTCTGTCTCCGTGTCCTCATACTGTCTCTGGAGGGTACCCCAAAACCTCTGATGTAGTGGCAGCTGTTCGGGGTTCGAGGACGACTTCGCGGTGGGGTTTAGGGAGGACGAGCTCCAGTGGTCCTGACAGAGAGGCGCTACCCAGTGTTTGGAGGGAGGGACTCTGAATATGTGGCAGTGTTTGGTTACAGTGTCCAGGCGCTAATTGGTCTCTGGTGGATTGTCACCAGGTACTGAGTTCAGAACAGTTTGACAGGAAGAGCTGGAGTATTCTGACAGCGGGGGGGCTGGCATTCCAGCCATTAGAACGAGAGAGCGAGCGGAAGAAAGCAGGACTGAATCACAGTATGCAGCAGTGGTATGAGCCATGCTTTTATTTATTTTTAATGAAGGTGTGGTGAGCTCCTCGCAGCCAGAGAGACATGCTGTGCTGTCTTATGTGTGATGGTGAGTGCCGACACTTGAGCTTCTAGCATTCATGTGTCAACAGCTGGAGTGTGTGTGTGTGTGTGTGTGTGTGTATATACCTGGGGTTGGTGAGGTTGTAACAGGACTTCCAAATCTGCAGCATGCGTTTACAGGAGAGTAACGCCTCCTCTGGACCTCGACACAACGTCTCCAACTTCACCTTTGTGAATAATAGACTAGAGACAAAAAAAGTGTTTATAATCACTTTCCGTTCATCACAATGTCTAATGAAGTGTTTAATAAACAGAGGAGTGTTTACTGAACACAGATAGAGATGAATCAGTCTAAGTCTCTTCTGCAAGCCCTTTTAAATAAAAAAACTTTAAACCAAAGTCAAGATTCAGCCCTTTCTGCTGGAATAACTTCAAATAAACATCAACAGAGCAGATCAATAGATTTCTCTTGATAATACAATAAACTGAACAAGGAAAAAACATCCATGAATACTGTTCAACTGTACAGCTATATTGCACGTAGTATGGTCTGAACACATCTCTCTCTTTATATATATATATGAAGCATTCGCCCCCCGGTGTGTCCACATTATCGAATCTGGCCCCCTTTAAAAAATGTTTGGAGACCCCTGGTCTATTGTGAATGTATGATGTATTGTATATTGTGTATTTGTGTTATGTATTTGCGTTATATTTAGTGTTGCGTTGTATATTGTGCATATGTGTTGTGAAGTATAATAAATTCTGGTCAATATGGATAAGCCAATAATTCTTTTCATGTAATGACCATTAACCAATAAATAGCTGATTTTAATTATTTAAATACATTTAAAATGAAACACTACAATTAAAATCAATAATTTAAATGCTATAAGCATCAAACGCTACCTTACCTTTGGGGTCAGGAAGACTTTTTTTAAAGAAATACTTTTATTCAGCAAGGATGCATTAAACTGATCAAAAGTGACAGTAAAGACATTTATAATGTTATAAAAGACATCTATTTCAAATATGTACTGTCATTTTGAACTTTCTATTCATCAAAAAACTCCTAAAAATATATCAACTGTTTTCACAAAAATTGGGTTCTTCTTGACAAGAACCAAATAAACTTGTTAGAATGATTTCTGAAGGATCATGTGACACTGAAGACTGGAGTATTGGCTGCTGAAAATTCAGTTTTGTCATCACAAGAATAAATAACATTTTTTTATAAACAAAAATAATTGATACTAAATTGCAATAATATTTCACAATATTACTGTTTTTACTGTATTTTTGATCAAATAAATCCAGCCTTGGTGAGCATAAGAGACTACATTCAAGAAGCTTAACTTGAAATGAGCACAGAATCAAATGTAATTTAAATGTAAATATAGGGAAAATGCATAATTAAATGTCAAATATTAACTAATATATATATAAAATCATTCAAATGATGTTGTTTTGTATTATATTGAGTGCTGTTTTGTATATTTTGCATATGTGGATGGATGTTTGTGGTGTATTGTATCTTGTCTAGTGTTATTAATGAGTGCACACAGAATCCCTTATTAACACCTGTATTTCACACACATTTCTGCAGACAGCAGATCTGCTCACGCTGAGTGAAAGTCTCACCATCGAGAGTGCAGATGGGCATTTCTATTATCAGATATGGCAGCATGTGAAGAGATCCAGCCGGTGTGTGTGTGTGTGTGTGTGTGTGTGTGAAGCAGATACCATATATAGAGACTGCTCTTCAACAGCTCACTGTCATTGCAGCTGCTCGACTCGAGCTGAACCGAGATCGGTTAGAGCTTTAAACACGCGCTGCGGTCTCTGAAGGCCACACTGATCCGAGTTCAGCCAATTCAGAGTGCTGATGGCACATTCTCATCAGCCGCGCTTTCATCTCTGCTGTATTTGCACGCTACACCGCTAGGACGCCCACACAACCGCTGAATTAATCCTGTCGCGTGTGTCTGTGTGTGTGGAATAAGGAGGGCTGGATGTTCTGGTGCATTTCCTTTCAAGGCAATGAAGCAAAATGCATGGAAACACACACACAAACTGGACAAACACACAAAACCCTGCGGGGAAAACAGGGTGAAAAAGAGGGCCACAGGATTGGAGGAAAAAGAAAGCTGTTGTATTTTTTTCCTATTATGTAAGTGGCTGAAGCACACAGCCAGAAGGGCGACAACACACACACAAATACAGAGATGGAGGGGACTCTGATCAAATCGAATGAGAAGGGAATTTGCGTGGGGACTGCCCAGTGCTTCAAACATCCAACACACACACACGCATACTTCTAACTCGTCTAATTGAAGATGCCAGCAGCAGATATGTACCCATCTATCCCAGCTGCTACAGCAAACACAAACATTCTCATTAGCGTGGGCACTGTGGCATGCCTCTAAATGTCTAAACACTGCCTGCCACTGTTTGTGTGTGTGTGTGTGTGTGTGAATGCTGTGCAAAAGAATAGGCTCCTTGTCATTCTCTGATTGGCTGCTGACAACTATATCAACTCAGTGTAGTCAAAAAACAAAGCTACATCTAACTACAAGCTCGAGAGGTTAGATAAAGTGTGACAGTGACTGTGAGACTCACATGAAGTTCTCGGGGTATTCGCTGAGGGCCATCTCGATGATGTTGAGAGCATCGTGGTAGTGTTTTTGAGCTGACAGCAGCAGGGCCAGCAGGTGTAGCGAATGAACATCATCGCCCTGCAGCTGTAACGCCTGTCGTACATAACCGAGAGCCTCTGGAATCTGACATACACACACACACACACACACACACACATGAGATGCTTTTATTAGCTGATTGTTTAAATGGACCGAGAGAGAAATGATAAGGAAAAATAACAGACTGACATCTGGGGAGAGAGACAGACTGAGAGGGACATAAAAGCAAAATAAAGTTCCCATAGTAAGAAGAGTGAGATGTGGCTAGGGTTGGGTGATAAATCAAATTTGATATTTATTGAACAAATATTTATTGATAATTAATTAATTAATTTGATACAACCAAGATATTTTTTCATCCGGGTTTTAATTCATACAATATACAAGTTCTGTTCTGTTTCGCTTTAAATTAATTGTTATATTTGTATTTGATTGTTATATTTTAATTTGATTACATAAATTTTTTTTTATTTTTTATTAGAATTCATTTCATTAGACATCATTTTTGATAATACATTTGTATGAAATCATAAAACAGAACTCAGGAAAAAAAGAAAACAAAATTTAGGGATAATTAAAATGGGGCCCTAAATGAAAAGGTAGCTTAATATGTGGAATTTAGTAGTAAACCAGAACAGTCTTTGATTAAATTCATTCCTGAGGCCTAACAAACATGAGGAGTGCATGTCCTTCCTCATAAATGGTATAAAAAAATATTATGATAAATATCAATATCGAATGATACGGAAAAAATATTGTGATAATATATTTGGCCATATTACCCACACTAGATGTGGCTTGAAGCAGATGAAATTAGCCACATGCAAATGCTTATAGGCATCATCTAAGAGCAAACTGGGAGAAGACCATCATCTGAGAGTGAGATGTTTTCATTCTCACTACCTGTGTGCAAGCAGCAGATGTTGATTCTCCTACCTGTCGAGATACAGCCAGCTGCAGCGCCAGGTAGAAAACAGCTAGGTGATCAGTGGGGGACAGACTCTGTGCCCTGAGAGAGAGAGAAACAGTGTGTTTCATCAGTGTGCACAGTATGTGAGAGTGTGTGAGAGAGAGAGAAATGTAGGACAGTCTGAAAATCACCTCTGGAAAGCACTCAGCGCTTTTTTCTGATACTCTTCTTGCATTCCTCGAAGAGATGCTGTAAAGACAGACGACAGAAGTGAGAAGATGGTAAGGACAAGATATAGCAAGATTTCAGATACCTTAATGTTAGAGAAAGGGCATCACAGGATTATAGAGTGTATAACAGAGGGAAGACAACGTATAGAGCATTACAGAGTGATCATTACATTATATAATTGTCATTACAGAGGGTGTTATATAAGAAAAGAGAGAGGTTATAAAGTATAAATTTATAAAAAGGTATAGAGCATGTTATAGAATGCAGAGAAAGCATATAAAGCATTGAAGTGTGTTATATATGTGCAGAGGAAGGGAAAAGGACAAATCAATTACAGAAACGGTACAGAACAGTGTGGTTCCTCACATGGGGGCAGGGGGAAAAACTTCCACGTGGGCCATAGGATGAATAAAATTATTAAATTATATTTGTAAAAATTAATGAAAACTTAATAAAATGCTCCCCCATTAAAAAAAACCTGAAATAATATTTATCCCCCAATAACTATTTTTATAGAAAAACATGCAGAATCAGAATCTTACAGAATCTCAAAATGAATTGTGTCTAATTAATTTAATATATAAAAAAGCAGCATTGTCATAATTATAGCAGAAATACCAGAGGAAGTATCTCGAGGGGGGCTTTGAATAATGCTAGACAATCAAAAAGGCTGAGAACCACCATCATAAAATATGGAGGAACAAATAAAGCATTATAAAAGATTAAACGTATCTCTCTGAAAAGTATATGCTGTGTTATAGAGGGTGGACAAAACATGGAACATTATATTCTTGGATTAAAGAAATAGTATATTTTGTTATAAAGGACAGAAGATGGGTAAAGAGTAGTTTACACAATTATAATAATTATACAGAGGTACTGAGCAAATTTTAAAGGGTAAAGAAATAATATAGATTTACAGAGAGGTACAGAGTGAGTGATCCAGAATAAAGTGTATAAAATATAAATGGATTACAGAAAGGGTATAGAGTGTGTTATAGAGGACCATTATGGAGTGGTTCATTAAGTGCATTATATAAGGTAGAGAAACAAATAGCATAAAAGAATATTGGGAGGGTACAGAGTGTGTTAGAGGGTAGAGAAAGGGTATACAGCACTATAAAGGAATTAGGGAGACAATATAGACTGTTTTAGAGAGGTACAGAGTGTATTACAGAAGACAAAATCGGGGTGTAAAGTATTATTATAGGGAAGGTATAGAGTGTGTTACAGAGGATCCAGTAAAGATTATAGTCTTATAAGGGTATTAAAATGGTGCGTTCTACTGCAGGTATGCTTACCATCTGTGGCTCTCAGGCTGTAGACGAGACCGATAGCTAGACAGCCTTTGGCCCTGAATTCAGCTGCCTTCTCACCCATATCAATCACTATTTTAGCAAAGCGCTCACCTTCTTCCAGCTAAAACACACAAATACACACCCCATGTCATCACCATCTCACTGTTCGTGGACGGTCTATCAGTAATGGATTTACAGAGTCGTAAACAGGTCAGGGTCAGCTCTCCGGTTGAGCCTGTGCACATTTCCCATGATTCCTCTTTTATTACCCAGTGCAGGTTTCCAATACACAGCTTGACGGCCAGCAGAGGAATGGTGGGATCATCCGGCTTTAGTCTCATACACTCCTTCAGTACCTTCACTGCTCGAGCCGACTACACACACAAACACCAAGATAAGAGTCATTACTAGCAGAGTATTACTAGTAGATTAATATATAAATATATATATAAATTTTATTTTATTCACACATTCCTTTCGTCACAGGAATAAATGACATTTCTTAAAATATATTAAAAGCACAAACCAGTTATTTTTAATTGTAATAATATTTTGCAATATTCATTGTTACTGTATTTTTGATCAAACAAAAATCGGTGAGCATAAGAAACCTTTTTCAAAATCTTCAAACATTTTATAGACCCCAACATATAAATAAGAGAATATAAGTGAGTATTAAATATATAAGAGATTTTATTTTAAATTGATATCAAATAAATTACATAAAAGGACTTTAACGTTATTAATTTTCATTTCACTAAAATTGCCTGATATTTCTAGGTTTTCTATTACTATGGGAACTCTGAGGTACACTGAATGCAGAAAATGGAACGCTAACCTTCCCAGCAGCCATTAGGGAAAGAGCGAGCTGGAACCAGAGATGAAACTCCTCAAAGGCAAACTTCATGGCTCTTTCGAGACACTGTGGAGAGGAGACATCAAGATAACCTCAGATAAGAATTGAGAACATTAATTATGACCCCCAACAGACACACACACAAAGGTCAAACACAGAGCCAGGCCATGTCTCCTGCTGAAGATTACCCAGAGTGCCACAGGCATTCAGTGCGTCTCTGAGGCTTTACAGTTAATCACACTAGCAGCTTAGCAGAGAGCAATTCATTGAACAATTAGATCTATATAACAAACAGCTACACAAACACACACACGACCCTGCAGAGGGCACACATGCCAGATATGACAGGCTCCTGGGGCCCTGTGATTGCACAACCATAAAATCCTTGAATATAAAAGACACAGCAAAAGTTATGCGGAGTCCAACATTAGCAACAACAGCATGATCAACAGATGGAGACGGAAGAGAAAAATCTGCCCAGGTACACTAATGAAAACATCACACTACAAACCAACACACACACACACACCAAAAATGCTTTTCTTTGCCTGCCTGTTCTGTCCTAAATAGGCCAGGCTTCTGAAAACAAACACTGAGGCTTGTCCGTGGCAAAAATAAAACATTAAGTAGAAAGTTATTAATAATGCTGATTAATTTGGACACATTTGTGACATGCAGACTTGAGCTCTAATATTGAATCTGGGTTAGTTCTGAATACAAAAAAGCTATATGATATAATATGATAACATGAAATCATATATTATAAATAATTGAAGCAGTATTCTGGTACATGTCCACAAACTCGCATGCACACTGTTATAACCTCTAGACCAGACAGACATTCACACAGAATATATAGTGTAGAGTGCAGGTCTGGTCTTGTTACAACAGCAACCACACCAGGAGGTTTAACTCGTCCCGCTGAGGGAGGGAGTATTCCTGAATGTTCCCATGAGTGTGGGCAGGACCTCACCTCTGAGAGCATCTCATACTGTCCGCGTCGGCCGAGCGCGATGGTCAGGAGGTCATACACCAGCGAGGCGCTCTGGAGGCTGATGATTCGGTCGTTATTGTGTTCGGGGATTCGACTCAACACGGCGTCTCTGTTAGCCTATCATAATTACAGATATTAATACACACATTCCCCAAAACATACAGGATTACACTACACTACTGTTCAAAAGTTTTGGATTTTTTTTATGTTTTTGAAATAAATCTCATTTGATCAAAAACAAAGTAAAAAAAAAAAAAAAAAAAAAGCAATATTGTGAAACGTATTTATAATAAAATTAAAATAATGGTTTTCTATTTTAATATATTTTAAAAAGTAATTTATTCCTGTGATGGCAAAGCTGAATTTCCAGTAGCCTATACTCCAGTCTTCAAATCTCGCGTGATCCTTCAGAAATCATTCTAATATGCTGATTTGTTGCTCAAGAAAAAAATCTCTTATTATTATCAGAGTTATTTTTGTCTTATTTTTTTGTGGAAACAGTTATACAATTTTTACAAGATTCTTTGATGTTTAGAAAGTTCAAACAGCATTTATTTAAAATATAAATCTTTTGTAACATTATAAATATCTTTACTGGCACTTTTGATTAATTTAATGTGTCCTTGATCAATACAATTATGAATTTTCAAACACAAATTGAACAGAAGTGTACTATGCTAGGGCTATCAATAACAGACACTACTAGTAACATTAGACACGTTTACATGTTCTCCCATTCTGATGGTTAAACCACAGCAGTTCAGAGGGTCACCAAATCTTTACTGCTACTCACCATGGACTCGCTGATTAACAACAGGAGTAAGGCCTCCTCTGTGTTCTCCTGTGGACAAAACAAACTAGAAAGAGAAAGGCCATCATGAATTTTTCCATCCATGACATCATGACTACAGTGACATGAAACAAACTTCCAGGATTCTGATCAATTAATTTCCCCCCCCTTTTTTTAATTTTCATGCTACATCATAAATATAAATGAACAATTTTTGAACAATATCCCTAAAACAGGAGAGTGGAAAATGATCAGCAAAAAATAATTTCATGTCATTATTTTATATCATCTGGACTTAAGGGCTGCCCCCTAATAGTCGACTAATCGTTAGTCGGCCAGAAGAGGCTTGGTCGACCAAAATTGTTTAGTAGCTTAGTCGCAGAAAAAAAATCCACATTGGCAAAGTCACGCAGATCGTTAACAGCTGATCTATGGTAATACAGTACATCCGGCAGGACATCCAAATGCTCGCCTATCAATCATCCACCACAATGGCTTATCATCTGAAATATGTAAGTATTAGCAACTTTACATGGCCGCTCAATCTAATGTTAACCTAGAGAAATGTGCGCTATATTCAAGTGTCTGTGTGCTGGCTGAACATTAGCACTCACTGCAGGACAGCTGGAGGCGCCGGTGCGCTCACTTGCTCTTAAAATAGGCTACTCCATAATTTTTGGTCATACAGATAAGAGTAATACATCTTTCAAATCTGTAAAGACTCTATGTTTATTTATGTGCACTCACAATAACAAAACGTGCTTTTGTAAAAGAATGAAAGCAAACAGGATGCGCTTTCTGCCATCTCGGTCTGTGAACTCAAACGCGAAACTCCGTGTATATTTTTTTTCTTATATTAAAATATATCTATAGAGAGTGAAATGTCCACTTTCAAATGAACCAATTCAAATGGAAAACAAATATTCTCAGATTATGTAATCCGTGTGAAACATGCACACAGGCGCTTCACTACTGCATGACGAGTCAGTCGGTGTCGCCGA